CCTCACCAAAGTCAGCTGACGAGTAACTTCAGTCTCATCCTATGCCCAACTTTATATGATTCCCAATCTCAACAAGTACATGTCAAACTCATTGGCAAGAGGCACAATGCAATCCACCAGTGGGTCAAGTACTATCATGTAGCATAATCACAAGTCGATTGCCTTATGACCTGGCAACTGAGGGAGTCTGCATCATCTACCGTTCACAAAAACCAAGGCGAAGCTGCAGTTCTCGTTTCGTCTGCAGTTCGGTGTGTTTTCGGCCGAGCTGCACATCTCTCGTGGCATCCCAGCAGATGAATCGTCCGTGGATCCAAGGACGACGTCAGTTTGAGTTGGTCATCCATGGACGATCTCTTGGTAAAAAAAACCCACCCCGTCCAAATGAATCGAACGAAGGACGATCTCTTCAATCCAATGGGGGGAATTTATTAATTAACATTAAAATACATGAATCATGAATTGATCCTTCACATCCATCTGCTTCCTCGATTCATCTAACGGACGTACCGCACCATACGGGGTGGCCGACCTGGGAGAGATTCACCAAGGACGGTTGATATGGTGTCAATGTAGGTCCCATATAGGGCCGCACAGATTCCAGTCCCCTCAGTCGTCATCTGGGCCATGCACGGACATCCGCATGGTCCCCATCGAGCTGCTCGGGCGCCTCCGAGTAGGCTGTTCTGCATCGAATCTGATGATGGGCGGCTGATGTTCACGGAAATTTGTTCTGAAGGGTTCTCAACTTAAATAAGAAAGGAACGAGTTACAATGATACAATGCGGATTAATGCGGCATTGTTTGCGGGATGCCCTTGCGTTGGACACACTACTCAGCCGAAGCAGGGTCGTGACATTCCATTCCCAAAAGCTCCACGCATGGAATGTTACCATTGACCCCCTGAAACCACCCTATTACAATAGTACGCATATACATGGAGTAGTCGAAAGGTCAACCATACACATCAGCTTCGCACGAACAAACACGCACAAAAAATCACACAAAAGCTTGAAGACCAGTCAAAAGGAGGCCTGTGATCAGCAAATCCCCACCGAGGCACGTGAAATCTCCCCAGAAGCGCGTGGTCGTCTTCGCTACGGATTCGCTGTGTGCTGGCGGCCTTAGGGCCGACGCGGATCTCGGCAGAGAATCCTGCGCTGCACTTGGACAAATTCCAAGTTGTTTGACCTGTGGTGCTATCATTGGTATCTAGGGAATTCTAGGGAAACCACTCGACGCCATCAAGAACCTCTACGTCACTCTCTGGCTCAGTGGAACTGCTTCGAACGCTGCGGAGGGATTGCTTTTTCGTCGAGCCGAAAACGGTGCAACCTCTGCAAACGATGGATTTCGATATGATCAAGCACGCCAAGCATTCAAAAGCTTAAACAGGGGTGAAGATGCGTTACTTCTTCTCTCTTCAAATCCAAGTTCTCCTCACTTGATGCTTCTGTCCGACCTCAAGAAAACCTGCTACTTAACAATTATACTCTATCATAGTACAACCACATGAATCTTCGGTGTTCCAAAAGAGTCCCACCAGCTTCGCAGGCCCTCAAAAGCCGTGCGGCTTTCCATCTCATGGCACCCATGTTGAATATCCGGCAAGACTTGAATGTTTTACGACCCAAAAGTTATGGATCAAAGAGTAGCTTTCCATCTCCGTTGAAATCAAGGGGGAGAGGTTGGGGCCGACATGTTGTAAGGGCACCAGGAAATTGAGAACGGGGATAGCTTTCCTCACGTTTCCATCACTTTGCTTTTGAGCATTTTTCATCTGTCAACATCTAGAACAACCTCAAGAAGCTGAACAACTCTCACACAGCTCCCGAGATCTTGGCAACATCAAAACACTCAACACTTCGACCAACACCCCTCACACACCTCAAACGAATGCCCAGTGACACCAAAGGCTCACGCAAGGAAGAACTCACGGTGGTGTGCGGACGGCGCTGCAAAGATGCTTCGAACATGGAGCTGCGGCCATTCAAGTCGCAGCCATTCCTGCGCTTGCTGTGGGCCTCATGGCCCCAGTCAGGTGTCAGACAGGCTGTGTAAGCCAAATGTGTTAGCCCTGTTTGAGTGTTTTCTTCCTCCAAGGTGTCTTTGAAGAGGTACCTTTCTTCAATACAGCCCAATGTCTACGGGTCAACAGTCAACCAGCTCATCCAGCTGTTGGAGACTTGGAGAATCGGTGTTTCGGTCCAACGGCCTGGTTTGCACCAATGGCCTGGTCGCACATGCAAGCAGCTCAACGTCTAAGTCACGATCTATAGCCAAGCCCAGCTAGGCCAAGAAAAACCACCACATGATCTGAGTTGGTCCACTGATGTCTTCCAAATATGCAGGGTGCCCATCTGCTTCTGTTGCTAGTCATTGGCATCTAGGTTCCTGCGAATTTGAGACATCACTGGTCTAGCCGGACCACGATTTCTTACATTCACAGAAAACACATTATCAGCCCGTGACAAAATACATGAACAAAAACACCCCCCAACAAACAAGCGGAGAGTTTCAAAGAGGCCTTGCCATCTTCGACCGACAGTGGATAACACTGGAAAACACACGCCGACCGAGATCGTTGGACCTGAGCATTTACATGTTTTTGTCAAACGCCTCCAGACATCCTGAAAACCTCCCTGACGCTTCAAGTTCAAATCCTTCAAGCGCCCTCAGCCGACCAGCCGTTCTGCACTTCTTTGGTCTAAATGAGTATGGTTCAACGTTGGAGTGCAAAACCAATCTCTTTTTGGGGTGGAGGACGTTTCCTTCTTTTGGACCAAGAACCAAATGCAACAAACAAATCCTGAAAACCTCTCCTGATGTATGAGAAGCTCTTGGTGAAGTCCGGCTTGTCCAAACGTTGATAGTCCTGGACATAGACTCTTTGGACGCGGATAGTCGAGCTGAGGGCTGGCGCTCGAGTCAGGGGGACGGCAGGGACGGCAGGTCCAAACCATTGCGGTTTTCTCCGTATGTCTTGTGTTGTCTGACAAGACGGATTGCATCATAGCCACATGATTTCGCAAATATACATGATACGTGTGTGCGTGCTTACTTCAAATATGAAGTAGACTCGGAGACCCAGACGCAAAAGTCCTTGCTATGTAGTCTCTCTGCCCAGACCCGTACGATACCAGGCTTTCTTCCAGGAAGAAACAATTCCAACTCAATCAAGAAGAACAAGCACTTACTTGCAGACGCAGCAGCAGCCACAGTGACAGTCACAGCATGGCCCAATACCCTCCAAGCAGCTGCTCCCTAACTGTATATAGAAATAAATGCACAAGGCAACATGAGCCCCGACCCCCCTTTCTGTCCCAACATAGGTGGGAAGCGCACCTCGAAGCTTTCAGGAACAACCATGATACAATCGTCAATAATAGCGTTCCAAACACGATTCACCAAGAAATAAATTAAAGAAAATATAAGAATATGCCCGAGCCCAAAACAAGACTTACCGTCTCCAACGAACGCCCGACACAAAACGACTCATGGGACACCATACACAGCAAAAGTTATACTTCTGCCAAGAACTCAAGTCCGGATTGATGCAATCATGATTGATAAGAACAGCTGCATTTTGCCGGTGTCCATCCCATTTCCAAGCTCCATGTCCCCACACCTCAACCCGGAACAAAAACAAAAACACACACAAAAACACACACACACACCCCTGCCTTGCACTGTCTTTGAGCCATTCCCCTAAACCTTCTACCGATCCCCTCTGATCCCCTCCTCCCAGCCGCCGGGCAAGTAGCTGGCCGAGCGCAAGGCCTCTCCTCGGCCGGTCACCGCTTCGTGGGAGAACGACCAAGGGGAGACGACCGGATCCACGGCCCCGGTGATTGGCTGTGAGACACAACTGTTGCGTAGGTGCGAGGGTCCAAGTACCGTACCTGAGAAGGTATTTGGATAGACAAATTGCTACTTGAGGACTCAGGACCTCTATCAAAAACTACGCCCCATGTGTTCAACTCTTCTTCTGCCCTGAGGGCTCGGCCCCTCGGCCACTCGGCACAAAGCCCCGCAAAGCCATGGAACACCCACCTTTCCATGAACATGGTGGTGCCGCATTCGTGGCCGCTCGTTCAACCACGTTCTCCATTGATCCAGTGATACTTAGATCTCATGTGTCGCAGATCTCCTACCACGAGTGAGACGAACATCTCCAGTTTCTCCAAGTCTCTTGAAGGAAAGTGCGCTCCATCACGACAACGCATGGCCATCCTGCGTTCCATCGGGCTGCAAAAGGGGCAAGTCACACCACAACTGCGTATCAGCATGCTTGGCTGTCTGAAAGCCTGCCTGACTGACTGCTGGTGTTTCTTCCTTTGGTCAGAAATCAACATGCGCATGGAACATGTCAGCAGTGAAGACTACTTTACTTGCATAACAAAAGGTGCTTAGAACATGTCCAGGTACAAAACATCAAACGCCTAGTCTTGGGTGGCACAGAAGCTTCTGCATCCATAGAAGCGACGCACAATAATTATATTTTTTTTCACACTCACGCTTCCTGTGGGAAAGCACAAACACCCCATGTTTTTTGATACTGCTATCAGGTACATGCTGCAGTTTCAAAAGAACTCGTTCTTCGGTTTGGGCTGCAGTAAAGGCCCCTGGAGTCCGTGATGAAATCCCGCAAGTGATATAGCAGGGTCCTTGAAATGGGTGTAAACAAGGAGAACCTGTTAGATGGTATTTCAGATGAGTCCAGCTTAGCTTTCAACTGGGTTCTAGCATTTTGTTGCTTTTAGATGGTTCAGTTCGTTTGAAGATGTCACCCCTTTTCAAGACACTGCATGGACCTGCACCAACACGGGTGTCCTTATGGTCTCTTCTTGGCCACAGGGCTGTGCGACTTTCGGGCTCATCCTCAGGACGCAGCATCTGATTGTCATTTGCCAATGACGTTCATTGTCATGTCAAGTCAGAATTAAGAATGAAAATTCTACAATATATTGTACATATGATCTATATATATATATATATGATTTGCACAACCCGATCAGTCTGCGAAAACACACACTACGCACAATACACAACACACACACACACTACATCACACACTACATCACACTACACACACCGAAGGAAAAAAAAACACAGATCATTATTGAAAACTAAACAGGGGTGAGATCAAAGCAGGGGTACCAAACCACCTCGGGTCGACCCCCCGTCTCGGGTCTCGGGTCGACCCGGTAGTCTCAGACGGGCCGCTACTCTCGGTCGAGAGTGGTGACCCTGGGTGAGCTCTACTTTAGACCCAAAACTACCAACCATATTAGTTAACCTAGACCTTCCAACGGCTAAAATATTCTAGTACGATTGGGTTGTTGTATTAGTTTCTGATGCTTCGATGGAAAAAATGGTGGTTGTCAGAAACGACTGGTTTTTGCTTAGCAGTGTGATTTGGGTATGCTCCACAGATTTTGATCCGAGTAGCCATCACCGGCTATCACACATCTATATTTAGGGGATGACTTCCGTATTTATCAACCCATCCATCCATCAGCCATCCCATTGGACGCAGTGGAAGACGCCAGTCATCATCGACCCGGCAAAGACCGACCTTCAATTTTTTTTTTGCGGCCTTCTTGATGACGATAACTGGATTAATGCCCAGCTGCCAAGTGTCTTCATTTACCTTTATCATTATATAATGAACGACTTCGAACTCCGGTGGAATTGCAAGATGCGATGCAGGATATGTACAAAGAATTTTTTAAAAAAACTGGCTACAGGGTTGCAATAAGTTCATCCTTGGCCAATGGCAGAGATGATTCGATATATAATAAATACATTGATGTCACCACGACAAAGGAGAAATTGATAAAAACATTTGTCTGTTCATGCCCAGGTTGTGACCTCTGAAGACCTACATGGAGTGGAAAGCACTTAATGCTATTCTGAGGTTTCGGAGACAGAATTTGATGAAAACCCACGACCAGTTTTACCCGCAAAACGCCCACAAAAAACCCTCAAAACGCCATCAAAAACCGGCAAACGCCCACAAATCCCAGAAAGTAGGTCAAATGGGTTTTTGATGGTTTTTGAGAAACCTCTAAATTCGTTGAATTGCAACTCTTTTGGGCTGAATGTCATGAGTAGGATTGCCTGCTCCACTTGGACAATCTTTGGTCATAAGCTGTTCGGGAGAAAATGAGTGCCTAGTCATGTTTTCCTACGAGCATGATGTCGACATGAGTTCATTTGTTAGCAACAATGCAATTATGGTTCCTTTTGCATACTCGTATGTCATTACCGTATCTTGTAGTTTTGCTGCGCTCGAGCCTGCTCGTAATTCTTGGAGCTCTAGGCCAATGTCTGATCGACCAGGGATTAGTGAAAGCCGCTCTTTCTTAGAGGGGTATATCGACTGCTCAAGCGATGGCCAACCCAGCTGCACTTGATTTCGCCACAAGTTTTGTGCAAGCATAAGAGATCATACCTTTGAACTCCCATGAAACCGAACCATCATCATCGTCATCATCATCATCATCCATCAGTCATCCATCAGTCATCCAGAGGCCACGGGGAGGGCAGTGTGTGACCATGCGCGACCACTCTTTGTTTGAATCGTATGTGCTCGACCACTTTTCAACTGATCGTCACAATAAAGTAGTACAAACCACATCGACCAAAATATTTTGGGATTTTGAAGGTCTAGGAATTTATGGTGTTTTCCTATCAAAATGGGTTCGTGGGTTGATGTCGCCTTGAGATGTGGGTTGATGTCTCTCCAATGCAGTCCGAATGCGCCCATTGCTGTCGAAACCGCACGACAACAATGATTCACTCACCAATTGAAAACACCAAATACCATTGCCATGGCAAGTATTTCCGAGGTCTTCCGGGGCGATTGAAGGACCGTTGCCCCGCTTTGCGGTGCAATCTGTAGTAAGACGAAGTCGCTGCGATCGTCGGTGCGGCGGGCTTGGGCACTGCTATCAATGTCGACAGCGGGTATAACTTTCCCAAACGGATAATAGTAAAGAATGGGAGGATGACTCATTTCATGACTTTGAACTGTTTTTGATCATTCACTTGGTATTTGTTCAACTTTCCTCAAACACAAAAAACAAGCCACTTCGACTCAGCCCGATATGGTGCCTTTTGTAGATGTAGAAGCCACACTCTCGCAGGGAAATTATGTAAATTCCGCCCGGACTGAAGGTGCTGAGGCGTTGTGTCGGCTCGCATACTCCGCTGGAATTGCTAGATAGCATAGCTTAAGCTCTAGCTTGGGGGGACACATTTTTGCTCTAGAATTCTGTGCTTTAAACATGCAAACACTGATGAAATCATTGGTCATGTCGGTTGTGCTGCTCGAGGAAGACTGCGTTATTGACATCGTGGTCGGTTATGCTGCCCAAGGAGACTGCATTATTGACATCGTGTGTGTGCTTGTCCGTGTGGCCTTCGTGAAAGAGATCCCTATTGAGGCTGATTGAGTGCAAGACGCCTAAGAGGTGCCAGCGTAGGTGATAGCTACGACGCAACGTCAGATAACAGGGGGACGCACCAATTGTCGTGGTGTGTGTTTTTTTTGTTAATAGACGATTTTTGGGACAACTGGGCGGTAGAGCTTTCAAGATGGTAAGACCCTATTCGCCCCATTTCCGTGCAGGCGGCTTGGACTGCGAAGCGGTGTGAATAATACTCAAGTAGTCCTTCCCGGCAACAAATGTCTGGACATGTCTGGGCTGTGTTCAGATTTCCACTTGGACTGCAGTTGTATCGACACTTTGACTCACCAACATGGACATGGAAAGCCACCTGTTCGTATGGCAAAAGACGACCAGTCTTTCCATGTTGGCCCCACTGCCATCCACTGCCATGTGAGGTGTGATGAACAGAGTGTGGTTAGTTCCACAAAGAAGTGGTCGAGTGGAGTTTCGACTTGGAATGGAATTCAAACCGAACGAACCCGTGCAAGGCCCGTTCAAACGATCCAACGATGGTTTCGCGGTAAGGCACGTGTGTTCGACCCCATCAGATACCAACCCTTAAGCGACCGGAGGTGTACAACCATTCGTACGAACCGAGGTCTTTGATTCATCAACCGTCTGCACGATCCGTTCTCCTGCCATGAGATTGTTTAAAATCCACCCCAACGATTGTCCAAGTCTCTACAAGGAAAGCGCGCAACACTATGTCGACTATGGCTTGCCCCCATCACAATCCCTGTATGGTTCCTATCACTTTGACCCCTCAAACCACCCCAATGTCTAGGTAAATATACCAGTCCCAGTCCCAGAGTCTAGGTACTGGTTGGTTGACTTTGTTGCTTTTCCAAACACCTCTTTGTTTCGGTCAACGTCCGCAGACATGAGTCAAGTGTTGCCATCGCATGTCCGAGTGTCTCCCCATAGCGGAAGGAGTTCTTAGCAATGGCCGCATCCTGGGAACACTGAAACAGTCTCATCTCCTCGTCTCATGTTGACTGCACTGATGGAAAAAGAACAACTAAAAACATGTTGACCGTTGAATTTGTCAGGACTGCTCCACATCTCCAAAAGGAATTGTATTGTTCTTCAATATAATACAGTCAGCGCCTAACCCCTTCACTTCATCCAAGCTTTGGACTCAAACCCCGAATGTATGTGTATTCGGGAGACCCCAGCAAGACCCCCTGGAAGCTGGAACGAATTACATAATGATGATTGCTCTTGCCCATGCGGGTCAAGAGCAAAAGGGCCTCAAGCAAGTTTCAAAAGACCATCGGTTTGCCTGGCAAAAGTATCAGCATTCTCAGGCCCTCAGGATGAGTGAACAATCCGGCACTGCTAAAAGACTAAAGTCACAGCATGTGTAATCATGTAGTCTGGGTCTGAGCGTCTTGTTTCCTCAGCAAAGGATCAAAACAGAAAACACATTTATGAAGATACATGAAGCACATGCAAATCCACCCCAAGTAAACCTGACCTAGAAGCATCTAAACTATACACTAGACACCCCTTTACACCTTTCTTCAGGATATACCTTCATTGCATGGGCTTTGCAGGTTCTACGTTGAACTGTTAACATTTGCTTGGGAATACTGCTAAGCATCATCATCTTAAAGACATGTCTGTGTTTTCTATATGTCTTGCTTCCTCTTTTTCACCTCTCCAGAAACCGGCTTCCGTCTTCAGCACCTGGTTTCCACCGACCGCTGCCTCGCGCTGTGCGAAGCTGGTGATGCCCATCTGCACAGTGGCTGGCCTATAGGGATCGCTCGGACGAACGGTCCAACCGCCGAACGACCGGGCGACCAGGCCTGGCGAACGGACCCATCTAGAGAGACGAACGAGGGACCGAGGGACCGACCACTGGACCGGGTACCATCAAGGGTACCTCCACCTCATGGTGACGTGGAAAACCCCATGAAAACCAACGTTTTTGTTGGAGGAACATGGCCATCACTTGGCCAGGGGGGGCCGTTGTCCACTTCGATGATGACCGACTCAACACGAGTAAACCGAACGACCGACTCATCCCTCCGGTAGCGAACGAGGTCCCGGCCTCCAGGGTGAGTTCTTGTCCCAAGGGCAATCCTTCAAATGCTGCATGGCGCTGTGTGAACACAAAGCCTCAAAGCAAAAGCACGCCTAAGGACTGAGTTGAATACTTTCGTTTCTGGTGACTGGGGAAAGAGCCAAGCGTGAAAGCTGGATAATGTGATGGAAAGCTTCACAACAGGAGTACCAGACTTTTGTAGAACATTTATACCTGGATTCACAAAGAACTTCATTAGACAAGAGCTCATCCTCTGAGCCAGCTCAAAGAATTGCGGCCGCGAGGGTGAAACCAAGCAAGGAACGATTCAAGTCTGGCTGATCAATGTGGCAAAAATGTGGTTTGTATCAAAAACGAGTGTGTGACATGTAGCTGTGTTTCAAGGATGGGGTACCACCCAGCATTTGGCCCTTGAATGCCCGTGCTGTGCGGGACCTTCTACAAAAAATACACAATCTCAATTCAAGTCAGGCATACAGAACCCAAACCAAGCTGTTTAATCCAGGATCAACCCTGGCGTTTCATCTTGCCCTATATGAGTACAATCCTCCTCCACCCGTTGCGCCTGTCCCGCGCCCCCCCCCTAGTTGCGCGGGCCCCACTTGCGCGTGCTCCTTCTTCATCGCTCCGAAGCGCTCTCTGCGGTTTTCGGAGTTTCACTGGGGATATCGCATGGTTAGCACCGAGTGCCCGACACTGTGAGAGCCCGACCAGACCACGACCATCTGGCGATGGGGTCTCCCAAGCCATCGCGATGGGAGACCAAGAAGCCGCTTCACATCAAAGGCAATCGTTGAGATAAAAGATAACACAACTTAGTCACTATACGTGTGCTTGTTTGTTTCTCAATCTTTTGCCATGGATGTAAAGCAACGTGGTTTCTTGGTGATGTCCAAGTCATCAGAGATGCGAGAATACCCCAGCCCCACCGATGAACATCGATGTGTCCGGGAGGTAAAGTTGCCACATTGTTGTGGTCTATCCCACTCTCGCCAAAGGCTCCAGAAACATGAACGAGTCACTTTTAACACCAAGTGATTTGAAGTTGGAGTGAGACCCTGGAACCCAACATGTTCCAATATAGTGATCCCCAAATAGATAGAAACAGTGTCCAAGACATTTTTAGTGGGGATCTACTTTCCTCTATTCATTTGCGGGGTCTATACACACCCACATTATGTCTGAGAAACATGATCCAGATCTTGAAAGCTCCGTGTTCGAAGCGGAAGATGTGGAGACAAACGAGACTGGCGACTGACACCCTAAACCACTGCCACCAACAGCCAGTGAAGCCAAACCCTAAACCTGTGGGCTTTGGGTCACTCACGGAAAACCCTACCGTGATTGTTTGATTCAAATACCATCAAATCCCTGTCCGACCTGTCTTCATTTGACCTGTCTTTTCCACAAGACCCATGGCTGCCGCGTTGCCCTTAGATGAGTGGAACTGGAACTGGAACTCTGTTGGTATTCCTTGATCCTTACACCCCCAAAAGGAGACGGTTGACCTTGGTCGCCAACTTCCTTTAAGTGACAAATCAGGGTCACACATCTTTCTGATCAGGGAAACTAAATGTAGTTACCTGGTCATCAACTTCTGAAGGGACCATAGAACCTGAAGGCCAACCACGCTCAAGCCAGTGTGTAATGTGAAACAGAAAATGTTGTCTATCTGCTGCCCTTAAAATGAAGATTGTGCTGCACGTCAAACCGCTTCACTCGGATGCTGTTTGGTGAGTTGGACTTGCTGATTGGAACTTGGAACGTGTCTTCTGCAGTCCCTGCAAATCCTGGAGAAGGGTGGAGAAAAGTCTTGCTCGCTTCAATATAGGTACAGTATATGTATGTACGTAATTGTACGTATACTTATAGTCCCCCATGCATTCCTACCCATAGTTTGATGCGTTAACTTCCCAAATCCCACAGCGCTGACCCTTGTTGTTTGGAACCTACAAACTAAAACCAAGTAAAAGCTACAAAGCATAAAACAAATTCAATGAACATACTAGGAATTGGACGGGGGAGTGGAGTGGGAAGAACACACACAGCCAAAAAGAAAGAATTCCTCTCCCTGTCCGACCAGCCCAGCCCAAACGGAGACCTCGGACTGGAGACGGTCCATTCGACCGTTGCAGGTTGCGAAGAGCTCTGCTGCGTACCGGTGCTTTTCAACGGACACGGACATCAACGCACCGTGATGGATTGGGGAGAAGAAGGACGAAGACATAGACTAGACATCACCACCTGGTTCAATTCACGTCAACGCTTTCAGCCCGTCTGAGGTCTGCTCTGGCTTAATCACTTTACTGGGGCACTTAGTCAGGCAATGATTCAACTGCATGTAGTCTTCAGTCTCATCCGAACCTGAAGCTGGGCTGAGACCGTGCAGCATGCCCCACTGAGCAGCGCCGAGAATTGGAGAAGATTCCATACATTCCATCACAATTGCCTGATGACCTAGGCCTGCGGAGAGAAGATCAACCCAATCCGACCAAAAACTCGTGATCCACCCATGTTTGTTGATCTGTAAGCTGTTTATGATAAGCGCAAAGCATGGTAGTAAACATTCTGGCCAGGAAGCATCAGGAAACCATTGTTGATTCATTGAGGTTTGCTGGTGTACAAAATTTGGGCAAAAAGGGACCAAAGGACCACTTGGCAAATCCATGTGGTTAGGTCCCAATCCTTTCTGGCCACTGCCAACTGCCTAATTTGAAAGACCGGCATGGCGTACCTCTTACGGTTTGGGCACCATCCCATCTCCATAGGATGCCAGCCATCAGGCATCTGGGTCCACTCGGAGGATGTGCCTAACCAATCCTAACCACGCAAAGGAAGCTTGCGATCCATTAGATACTGCAAGCTCATGGAACATTGCAGCTGATTGAAAACCATCTCTAAGCTTTGATTTCCCACCTGGGGGAAAAAATTATTCCTGCTGCACTCTGGTATAACCGTATAAAGATATAACTGTTGATACATTGAATCTTGCCTCGAACTGGACCTGTCTAAAAACTCACACCTTTGGCCATTCGGCCCTCTTTCCGAAGAAAAGCCGCCCTCTTTGAGGACACTCATCGGGATGGGACAGGAATGCCCTTCGGCACACCGTTGGACACCTGAGCAAGCAAAGAGAGTGCATCACTTCCCCTCTCTTGGACACCACGTGCGAATCAAAACACAAAACGAATCCCCCGTCGCACAAAAGCGTGGTGTGCAGTTTTTTTTTAAAGAGAGCGTGGATAGTTGCTACAAAGGATGATGTGCTGTCACCAGCGCCAAACTACATCCTTGCATGGTGCTTTAACATGCTTTAACCACTGGTGTTTGCTCTGTCGTTACAAGCAAGCCCACATAAAGCCCAATCAGTCATAGGCCACAAAAGCTTGAAAGAAAAAATACATCAGCACACCCATCCGAACTGACTGGCTTACCCGTCTTCGAGGCCAAATCACCAGCGTCCAGTTGACACTCAACCAAACTCGGTTGGATCTAAATACGCACGCGTTTCCAACTATACAACCATTGAATACAACATACCTGGAACTTCCTCAGTGTGTGTGTGTGTGTCCACCCCTGGACAAAGGGTTTTCCACCGCCACAGAATT